CCTCAGCCTAATTTCGACTTACCAAGAAGAATGGAAGCAAATTGGAAAGGGAATGGAAGGTGTAAGTAGTTGGCTTCTAAATGACTCCACCCTTCCATTTGGTTGACAAGTGTCGGTCGAACTCACGAGCTTGAAAACTCCAGGGTTTCTTGAAGCTGGCGCATGCCAAGTACACTATGGGACCTGGTAGGATCTGCCAAGATCAATATGATGGAAGGATGCAGGCTTTCAGTCGAGTGTTAGTTAAATGCGCCAATTTGTCATAAATTAGCCGACTAGTCAAAAACATTCTTCCCAACTCTTTTCATGTGTTACAACAGATTGATTTCCCAGGAGGCAGATGTCGATGTGAATGATGCGTCACGCAAAAAAGATTTTCAGCTCACGTTAACGAGCGGACACTTGGAGATCGACGGAGGGATCCCGAATGAACACAAGGATACAGAAAATAATAATTCACCGTCATCGTTGCGTCGGCGCACGACTCAGGAGACGAAATCCGAATTAAAAGGAGATTTAACCGAGAAACACTCGAGGAAGCGCATATTGAGGGACCCGTTAAATTGGTTTGGAGTTCTGATCCCCTTATCTCTGAGGGAATCACAGAGACATTTCAAACAAGGTTATTCTCACACAAAAATTCCACTTGCATCTTACGTTGAATTCGAATGATGAAATGGCGTTCAATTATTCGGGAAAATTATAATCGTGTATACTTTAATTCAAACATCACACAGGTTTATTGGGCATGATTAACATCATAAACCTACGCAACGAGATCCTCAAGAAGGAAGTCGAATATGAAACGCTGAAGAGGAAGAAGGAAAGAATGGTGACGGAAGCACAGGCAAAACCTAACAACGCAGAGGATTACGTACAGTGTGACTAGCAATAGTAGATTTTTACATCGGTTTTTTTGAACAATTGAAATAAGGACTTTCAAGTATCATTGTCATCAAAGTATATACATTTTTCTATTAAAAAAATAATAAAAAAGTGCTACAAATGCCAAGTCGTGGCCGGGCGTCTTTGGTTAAGCAAAGTTTTTTTTTTTCTGTAAACCCACACACGCACGCCGTCTCGCTCATTAAAAAAATTTTTTTTTTAAAAAAGTTAATGGATAAAAGGTAAAAGAAAAAAAAATTTATTCTTACAAGTAAAATAAAGTTAATCGCGAAAGAATAAAATAAAGAGCCTAGAAAATCTTTGGCATTCCAAAAAATAGAAACCCTATCCACCAAATTCGTTTACAGGTTTTATTTACATGTAGAAGGAAAGTGCGAAAATTAGAGTGGAAAAAAGTTCTACAATAAGATAAGGCTAATGGGTGTTATAAAAGGGGAATTGATGCTTGAGAGAGAATATACTCAAAAAAAAAAAAAAAAAAGAGAGAGAGAGAAAAGAAAAATAACAATAAATCAATCTATCGCACGCCTAATAGTCCTGGATCCTCGTTGCAGGGATTCTTTCTTCTTTTGTTGATCCGTCATTAATCACAGTCAATCATTACACCGACCTATGCATTGTCCAAAATTTTAAAATAAAAATCTCCCAAATTTGTTTCGTCAAAATTATTTCTTGGAACCTAGTTGAGAAGAAAACCTTCGCTGCGAACTGCTACCACTACTGCTCCCGCCTGCCAGGCCACCAAAATGAGGTGGTGGTGGTATCGTCTGTGGAGGTTTTACTCGGAACTCGGCGAGGATCAGGAGATGACTGTTGAATGGAACAAAGGGTTACAAAACTGGGTCCAGGTGAAAGAAGAAAGAAAAGAACCCTTTGATCGTCAATTTTTATTTTGAAATTACTTACTCGGAAGGAAAATGCGCATTTGGAAATCCAACCATCTTAGACAAATACTCTCTATCTACGCCGCCCAGTAAACCGGTAACGGTCAGCGTATTCGTGGAATACCAGATGTAATCGATCACTCCGGTAAATGAAGGTGTGAAATGAGTAAAAGGCAATTCCTCGATATTGGAGTAAGAAGATTTTAGTGACAGCTTATGGGATAGCCCTTCCGAGGTGTAGGATCCATATATGTGATCACCGAAATCACCATGATCTTGTCCAATGGTGCCTCGCGAGAGGAATTCGTAAACGCCAGAATCAGGGGTCGAGTTAAAGTCTCCGCAGATGATGGTTGATATTTTGTGAGGATCACTATAATTATAAGGTGATTGACTAGGTAAGGTACACCATCTATGGGCGAGCTTATCCAGTTCATCCATCAACATCGCCACCTGAACCAGCTTAACGTCGGCGTACGACGGATCCCAATGAATATGGCAGTTGACGACGATAATACGTGATAAGCTACTCTTATTTTCAAGCAATGTGACAACTGCTATATTGTCTTTTGTGATGACTCGGTTGAACATGTCCTCGGTCTTCTTAATATCGGGTCTCTGTAACGCCACCTGGTTGAACTCGATCAATTGTTTGTCAATTAACCGATACCTATTTTTTCAGGGAGAAAAAAAAAAAAAAGGGTTAAATCTCAACCATCACGAGAAACGATCGTTTGCCCAAAACCATTCTGCAAAATCAAGATATGTTACTTTGAGGCCTTGAAGAATGTCGCGCATCCGTCCACCGATTTTCTCTCCTGGTCAGACATCGTTTTTGCACGCGACTTTTGCCAGTAAACGCTATCATAATCTCCACGCTTGCTGTAAACCTCTTTGAAGTAGTCTTCGTATTGTGATGAATTAACTTCCTGCATATAAAAATTTTTTTTTGATAGATTAATAAAAGATCAAGTGAGATAAATAGGTAAATAAAAATTAATGAGTTATCCCGAACTCGAGGTTTTTTTTTTTTTTTGTTACCTGGAGACACACAATATCCGCATTATAGTTCAGTACTTCGTTCGCGATTCGGTCCTTTCGGTAATCCCATGAGAGCGCCCATGAGGGAGTATAACCATACAGTTGGGTGGTGGCGTACTTGTCGCACAGGATGTTGTAGCAGAGGAGGGTAAAGGTGTCTGAAAGGAAAAGAAAATTAATCCATAAACACAAGAGTCAGAATATAATATGGTATACCCTTGTTTCTTTGGTCACCATTTCTTTTGTTTTGGCGTACAGCCAATGCCCGATTACCGGCGACATACCACGATCTCCACTAGCGGGTTCGTTCTCCAACATTATCCAATCCCTTTCCATTGGATAAGGAGGTACTAAAATATCGAATGAATTGTTATTTTCCTCAAAATTTGTGGTTCAATTTTATTATTATTATTATTATTATTATTCTATTTATTTATTTTTATTTTTTTTTTTTGAAAGGAAAGAAAAAAGAGAAAGGAAAAAGAAAACCGTTAAATTTATCTCGATCAACACGATTAACGTTTATATACCTTGACAATTATCCCGCAAATATGAGATCACTGCCGATGTGCCCTCTTTTTGTAGTAAATTTTTAAATAAATCACTAATTGGATTTCCTTCGATGCCAAGAGTCTCCAGTTTATATAGGGTGCCCAGTTCATATGGCAATGACACGAGGTTGTTGTCAAATAATAAAAGATCCCTCAAGTTCGTCAGCATTCCAACTTCAGGTGGGATGTCAGACAATTTGTTGCCCGACATATCTAACAGCACGAGGCTTCTTAGCTTGGAGATTTCCGGTGAGATGTAGGTCAGATTATTATGATTTATATAGAGAGTGGTGAGGAATTTGTATTGGAAAAGTTCCTTGCTAATGTTCTTGAGGCCCATACCGCCCAGATCAATTATCATCCATTGTTGATGTAGTGAATCTTGCCTGTCCCCGTTGATTTCTTTTTTCGTTTGCACACCATTTACTGGGGGTTTGTTTGGATTGTTCGGATCCGTTATCGCGATTGCTGAACTTCCGAGATTACAATTTCGGGCTACAACAGCTGCTTGCCGAGCGTGGTGGTGGGGGGAAGCTGACTGACGAGATATCTGAGCATAGTTGAGTTGCTGTTGCCAATGTATTGAACCTATTGTTACTTCTGGGGACAAAACATTGAGCTGTTGTTGATTCACGGCAACGGATGCTGAGATTAAAGTTTGTCCTGGCGGTCCCGAGGTTTGGTTGGGAAGGGGATGTGAAATGTACGCGTGTGCCAATAATTTTGATTGTGACTTTGGCTGAAAAGGGTACATGGGCATGTTACCGCCACCATACATTGTTGGTACTCCATGTGTTGCGGGATAACCGAGAGACGGCGAGGTTTGACCTGAAGAGACGATTGGTGGCGACGGCGAGCGGGTGGGTGAATGATTTGGGGACACTTGACCATTCGAGGAACCGTTTTGTTGATAGATTAGCTGAGGAGGGAAAGTGTTCATTTTTTTTTTTTTTGTGTCGGTTCTTTTCTTTCACAACAGTGCCAAAGCATTGATGGAACAAGTGATGGTAGAGTTGGTACTACGCAACATTTGATTGGTCGGTTTAATACTATTTGAAAGCCAATTTCTCGGGTTGCATTTCGATCCGAGGATAGAGAACCAAAAAAAAAAAAAAAGCATCATATAAAACTAACATCTAATCCATAAACAAACAAATAAATTATTATGTTTGTTACACAAAGGCATTAGATTCTTGAACAATTTGGTAACTAAAATACACGTGACGCAATTCTTTAATTGAGATTTTAGATTTCGATCTACGCAAAACCCATCTATTATTTTAATTTATGTTGCTCTCAATGAGCATTGATTAACATGGCAATAGTGAAACACGAGAGAATTGTGAAAAAGAGTCAACAGGGTGATCAGGATGTCGTGGTGATGGCTCCGTCCTCGGGAGCGACATCCGGTTGCGACTCGATCTGAAGAAAATAAGATTCCCACAAACTTATTACCTAATGATGATAATGGTGTTCAAGAATAAGCGACAGTAGACAAATAAGACATGACCCGACCACCAAACAACTTGACGAAGGTGATTTTACCTCCTTTTGTGTTTCCATCAGCGATTCCAAGAACGCTTCGACACTGTTTTTGAAGTCCTCCACTTTTTCTTTATCAAAGCGATCTATTTCGACCTTGATAAGTTTCGAGACTTCTTCGAATTCCCCCTTGCATTCTTCCGCTCGATTTTCGGACTACATTAATCACTCATTTATCAATTTACACGAGATCACATCGGCTGATCAAGTTTGAGCAAAATAATTACCTCGGCGATCTGTGCCAATGCGATCGAGAGTTTGTCGTGTGAAAGTCGACCTTGAACCTTTGACCTTTCATAATTGATCTTTTTCTTCTGCAATTCATAGATGGCATTTTGCCACGCTTGGTAAACTTTTTCGCGTGAATTGAACGCAACCTTCAAGTAAAAGTAACAGTGTTACACAAATGCGTAGATCAGACCTCATAAATTCCTAGGAACAAGAAGACAAGGATTTATTACTAACTTTAATTGACCCAATTAGTCGGATATACTCGTCAATAGTATTTTCCAATGTTGCGACATCTTGTTGCACCTAAAAAGAAAAAAAAAAGAAAAGAGAGATTACTCTCTTGATCCACCAAAGGTGCCAGAGACAAAAAAGCCGACCTGCTTCTCCTGCAATTCTTTGATTTTCTGCTGTAAATTTCCCAATAGAGTTAAATTACGCGCTAAAGATTTGTTGTTTTCGGCGTTGGCAAGGGATAATAGGTTATCGCCAAATTCGGCGGTAGCAAAACCCAAATCTTGAGAAATAACGAAAAGGCGATTGATGAGATAACGAAATGTCGCGACCTAAAAATAAAGTTAAATAGGACATACCTTTACGTTGCCTAACAATGGCCTCAACGGATTTCATCAATGTTTTCAATTGTGAGTCCAAGATGTCCAGTTGGTTCTTGCGATTTTCAAACCACTAGAACAAAGATCAGAGGATGAATTGCACATTAATTATTTATCAATATGGAATTTTCGTTTAGTGTGCAATACACAATATTCGATGCGATAATTCATACCTCATCCGTCTCTACAAATTTGTTGAAAGTTGTGGCATTGGAAACGACCTCGCCCAATGATTTTAATACGCCTTTGGATTCACCCTTATTTTTTCGTTTAACCTGTAGTCACGAAATTGTTTGTTAGTTCCAGATCAGAATTCATCGATCGAGCAAGCGAATAATCCTTTCAACTCTTACATCAATGACGAATCTATCCGACTCCAAAAACATCATCAAATTAGGATCTTTGTACAACATCGGATGGGTCGTGATTTTATTCAAACATCTTTCCAGGGCTTGACGACGGCTCTCCACGAATTCGTCTTGGAAACGACCTGAAAGGAAACTCGTGAATTACTAATTCGTTGACAAACGTTGAAATACGAATTTTGCGCACCCGCGCAGGAATCCACTTATCCTCACCAATGGCGTGTTTACCCGGTACAGGGGGAACGATGACCCCTGGATTACCATTCGTCAATTGATTATAAAGCCACAGAAAATCACGGTAACGTCGCAAGACGGTGAAGTCCCTGCTTTTAAAAGAATTGGACGTCGTCTGAAAAAAATTATCAAGTTTTTCTCGCGTGAGATGACATCCTCCTCCTCCTCCTTCCTTTTCCTTTCTCCTTTCCGCAACACATACACTTCACATACCCTCGTCCGGACTTTGTATATAATATGCGCGTTGATGGGATCCCCTATCTTTTGTGGATCCTCGACGGTGATTTGGAATAACGGCATGTCGCCATCTTGAAAATCTGACTATGAGAACTATGAAAATCGGCATTGCTCTACATCATGGATCTTCGTAAGAGTCAAACGATAGATTTAACATGTTACCTGATCGAAATTAAGTTCAGAGTTTGTTAATCTTGGTTTTTCGTGAGAATCTCCTATGATAATTCTCTCCTCCTCAAAGGAAGACTCGTCGCTGTTACTGATTCTCTCGTGGAACTGACTCTCCGAGGGAATTGAGAAGCTGCTCTCCATACCCCTAGCGAACAACACGTCCCCAACTTCATGTTCCTTTTCTTCGGATTTTTCCTCATTCGAGGTGAAGAAAGACCTTCCTAGTAAGTCATCTACGTCCTGATCGCTGGAGGAACTTGTTGGCGCGATCAAAGGTGAGATGACATCACGAAACGGATTTGAGACGTCTACGTTGCTCAACGTCTCCGATATGGTATTGCTCGTAGGCTTGTGCAGGAGGTCGTCAAAATTATTTTCAAACGGAGTTCGCTCCGACATTTTATCCAGATTTCGGTAACAAGCGTGATTCACCCGTTTTCTCCCCCTCAAATTCTCGGCGTGGTGATGCCTACTGAGAACCCGGAATGTAGGTCGAATGATGACCAATATTTATTCCGAAAAAGGTGCATGATGAACATGCATGTAGAAAAATAGTAAACTCTTGCCCCAAATAAACGATTCGAATGAAACTTCTCTAAGTTTGATGTGTGGTATTAAAGATGCACATCACTTTTAGCAATTATTATGCTGCTTCAACGAGGCCAATGGGAATCACATAATGCGAGTTATTTTTAGATGTCACGTTATTGTACGCACGTACATTTTATTTCTTTCTACTCATGATACACAACGTACAAAAACCTATTCAAGAACACACAATTTCTGTTATCTCTCTTTCATACACTTATTCTCCTCTTTAAAAACTTGTTACGACGCTATCCCTGTTAAAAAAGGTGAGCACCCTTTTACTCGGGCACATTTGAACTCGAGACCTCAATCAACTGGATCCTCTCTTTCTCTCTTTCTTTCTTTCTTTCTTTTTTTTTTTTATTTGCTTCTGCTCAAGTTTATTCGACTTCCGCCATTCCTTCTTGTCACAAAACATGCAGCAACCTATCTGACAGCCTCGCCGACACACCATACCTTCAAGAGAATCATTGCCATTACATCCCACCCAAGGTTTTGTTGCAAATATGATGACTTCAAATAGTGGGGGTACGTATGTTAAAAGCTTAACTCCTATGAAATAATTAATTTTACCATTAAATATTTGCATTCTATCACGTTATAAGGAGCTATCGACAGCATTTTGGAAAAAAAAAATACAGCGACCCACGCCTCCAATTAACGTCGTTGAACCGTTGGTTACAACGACTCACACGACAGAAACAGTACAAACAGGCACGTCGTTTAACGCTATCGAAAGCTATCTAAACAGCGATGTTGGTGTGACAATGATGGGAATGGACAAAGTGAATATAATCATTTGCATAAAAATCCTAAAGAAATCAATTCGATCCTTTTTCTACAATAGAAAAGACCGTCACTTTTACAACCAACATATCGAAACCAGTTAGCACGGGTGGCAGCGACGGTACAGGTGTGCGACAACTGGAGAACTTTATGGAGTTACAAAAGGATATTTCCGACCATACACAAAAAGGATCACCTATTCCCGAGTTGTCCGGAAAACGGAGGCCTAATAGCATGACGGAAGGGCAATTTCGGGGGTCTCCCAACCGATCTCTGACAAGTGCCGGGAAATCTAAGAAGATAACGTCTACATTTCCGATACCAGCCGAAGCCGACTCTCAGGCAGAGACATCCGGACGAGGTAAAAGGAAAGGAATACTCGAACGTCGTAACACATATAACGCGGAAGCTATTTCCGGAAATTTCACAATCAATGAGGAGACGCAAAAGTGGGCCGAGAACGTTAAGAGACGTCTATCAAAGAAAAAGGAAAAGGACGATGATGACGAAGGGGCCATAATTGGTACAAGGATTGGCGAGGATCATGTTAATTATGTTCTCATGTATAACATGTTAACTGGAATTCGTGTGGGAGTATGTTGAATCGTTTTCGAATAGCTCGATTTCGCAAATATCCACTTCGGGTATCATATAATACTTATTGACCATCTTGATTTTAGGTTTCACGATGCAACGCGAAACCCCTGAGGAAATTGAACGATGCCGACTTCAAGGCTGCTCACAAATTAGTATTCGATATGTAAGAAGTTTTTTGTCAAACGGTCAAATTATTGATTATAAAGTGACGGGATACTTAATTCGAACGCTTCACCTTAGAACGGGTAACGAACTTACGCCGTCGGCAAAATACGATTTCAAATTCAAGGATTATGCACCTTGGGTTTTCCGTAGTCTTCGTGAATTCTTCCGAATTGACGCCGCGGATTACCTGGTCTCTCTGACAAGCAAATACATTTTGTCCGAACTAAATTCACCCGGGAAAAGTGGAAGTTTCTTTTATTTTTCACGTGACTATCGGTTTATTATTAAGACTATACATCACACCGAGCACAAATTCTTACGCAAGATATTAAAAGAATATTATGAAGTATGATTTGGAGGAAATTTTAGTATTGAATAATTATATATATATATATATTGATCATACAAATGTTGCGTACTGATTTTCCCCTCGAATCTTTGGAATAGCATGTGAGCAAGAATCCTGACACGCTCCTCTCTCGTTTTTATGGTCTACACCGCGTGAAATTACCCAATGGACCAAAAATTCACTTTGTGGTGATGAACAATATTTTCCCCCCTCACCGAGACATTCATGAAACATACGATTTAAAGGTTTGCCATTTCGATCAACTCTTTTCGGATGCTTAATCCGATTTCGATTAAGATTTACATTTGTTGGTCATCCCCAAAATAGGGTTCAACAGTTGGTCGCGAATACAACGAAGTTCAGGCAGCAAACAAGCCGCTCGCCGTGCTTAAAGATCTAAATTGGATCAAACGTGGTCGTCATTTGGAGCTTGGACCCGAAAAAAGAAAGTTATTGGTTGATCAACTTAAAAAAGACGTCAAGGTATAGGAGTTATAATTAATCTGGAATTTTAGTATGTTAATGTACTACACGTGTGATACAAATGTGAATAATTTAATGTATGACCTTTCCAGTTACTCCAACGGTTGAACATAATGGACTATAGTCTTCTCATCGGCCTGCATGACACTTCCCGCGGTAACAAGGATAACATTCGCGAAGATTTATTTGTGTTTCAGGTGTGCAAAAGAAATATTTTATTTTCGAGCTATTCTGTGACGCTTTATTCCTCAAGTTCAAAAATTCATCATTGAAAACTTTTATTCTTCAGCCCGACACGAAGAAGATCGAGCGCACACCATCGAACTATAAACGGGAAAGTAAGGCCTCACAATTGCGTAAAGCCGTAGGCAAAGCTGACCCTGTCAGATTGGGTTCCTCCACTAAACTTGTATTGGACGCTCACAACGAGTAAGCGCGTCAAGCAATATACTATGAGAAGGTTTCGGTTGTCATATTACTCATAACGCTGAAAACATTTAATTATTACAGACGCCGCAAGTGTGCATTTTACATGGATAATGGAGGCTTTGCCGGTACTGACGAAAACAATAACCCCACCAATTACATATATTACTTAGGAATTATTGATATCTTGACTCCTTATAACACCGTCAAAAAGGTTGAACACGCCTGGAAGTCAATCAATAATGATAAGGTATTGAATATTTCCTAATGAAAAAAAAAGATTTGACACTCTTTTCTAATGATAGGATTTGATATTCTCCAGAAAATGATATCTGCTGTGCATCCTCGCTGGTACGGTCGACGCTTCTTGAGTTTCATGATCAAGACCATTAAGCATAACGATGATATACAAATCGAAAACGATAAGGACAAGGAGAACACGGAAAATTTCGTTTCAGAATCATAGTGTCCTGCGCAGGTCTCTGACATCTCTACCGAATGTTGTTTTCCAAAGGTTCACCGCATAATTTATTTCTTCTCATCTGGCTTTTTCCCAATTTTGACACATTGTTTCCTACTTCCACGATCACATTTCTTAATACAATCTTTCCCCCGCGAAAAAAAAAAAGAAAAAAAAAAACAATTCTAAATATTATTTAATCACATGACTGTTTTGTCAAATATTTAACTTGAAAGTCGACGAGGAGATTTTATAGAGCTACCATAGGCTTCGTTTCATTCTTTCATTACCAATCTCATTCTCAAAACTTTTTTACACAAGACATTCACATTCCATTCTCTCCACTTTCTAATATTCTACCTTTCTCCGCCTTCCATCTCACCATCAATTGACTCAACATTTCACACTCTTTATTCATTCACACAGAAAACAACTCTTATCTAAATTATTTTTCTTGAATACCAGTTTATCATATTCTTCGTATCGGGATCTATCTCACCCGGGTTTTCTTTTTCGAACATTTGCGGAGTAATATCAGTATTTTTCTTTCCTTTTTTTTTTTAAAGTATTCATAGTTTGGTAGGAGGGGATCACATTATTGCTTCTAATGATCTTTTATTAGTTTTAATTACCGGAAGGTTCTTATTTTCTAGTATAAAACGATATCAGCACATTACAACATTAACTTAAGTACATATTATATAGACCACCAATACACCTTGATTTTAGATTAGTTGGCAGCAAGTAATCATATTTCTTGCACAAAAAAAAAAGAAAAAAAAAGCAGATTAGGCTGAAAGGGAACGAACTCACTTTCGTTCGCTAGTCTCATATTTTCACCAGTTTTGGAATTCAAGTTGAAGTTATTGCGTTTTTTTTTTTTAATTTGTAGAATATTACCAAATCCAAACCAAAATTGCAACGGAATTCACATTCAATTATCAAATTTTATCATGTTCTTTAATAAAGCACATAGATTATGCTGTACAAGATTCGCATGACAAAAGCCACACATGTCTTGGGCATTGTTCCCTCCTCTCAAAACGACTTTGACTTTTTTGCAACTCATATGAAATGCAAATTGAGTGCCGCAGAATTGCATCAAAATACAACGAATATTATATGTGAATTAAGATTTGAGCGAAAACAAGTTCATTTTAATTCTGTCTTTCTGTTAAGATACTAAATGTTTAGAATCTAAAAAAAAAAAAAAATGAATGGGTAAAATCAAATAACGGATTGCATAGAATAATTAAACCTATTGAAATTCAAGGCATACTTCTCGAATTGTTTTGATCCCTTTTGCACCTTCTTCTGAACCTTAAGGACATTAAAGCGAACAGTCTTCGATAGGGGACTAACTCCCATGACGAAATAGGTAATTTAGCAAATTTGTTTCACGAAGGGGCTTATTCTGTTAAAACAAAAAATCGAGACCGAGGTTCTTACCGGCATTGACCTACTGTCACGGTATCACCTGGCTACATTTACAAGCAAAATGTGATCGATACGATTTATTGACAAATGACATACTAAGGCAGAAGTGCGGAGCATCAAGTTATAGTCCAACATACCTGCACGCCGATGAAAGCTGGCGAAAGATGAGCCGCCAAATTCTTGTGACGTTTTTCGTAACGATTGTACTTCGTGATGTAGTGCAGATATTCACGACGAACAACGATGGTCCTTTTCATTTTTGTGGACACCACCACACCGGTCAGGATGCGACCACGAATAGACACCATACCTCTCCAGGGACATTTTTTATCCACGTAGTGACCTTCGATGGCCTCTTTCGGTGTCTTAAAGCCAAGACCCACTTCCTTATACCAGGGGATCCTCTTTTTCCTGGATTTGGTTTTTTTGACGACCTTGTGATTTTGGAAGATGCCGACTTGCTTTTGATAAGCTCTTTCAATCTAAGGAGAGATCCTTTACTTGGTCAGCTTAAAAATCTCATACTCATTTCAAAATTGCGAGCAAAAAATACGAACTTGTTCAGACATGTCGCTTAGTTTTCTTAAGGAACAGGCCACAGAACTGCTGATGGGTTAAAAAAAATTTTTCGAGAGAAATTTTATTGATAACACATTATCGCCAATCAAAATTCAATCACGTGCTAAAATAGATGTTTGAACATATAGCAAAGCTCTAAGACTCCACTTGTTTGCCCCAAGAATGTCTGAAAAAAACGACTCTAGCCCCTCACAGGCCACGAACACTACTGAGCGACTTGAAAAACTACGTGAATTATTCAAGAATGAGAAATACAACTTGACGGCTTAGTATGTCCATGAGATCGACAGCGCCACTTTTTAAGGTTCTTACTAATGCGGCCTTCCCTCTTACCATAATTCTTAGCGTGATTCCTTCGGAGGACGCTCACCAGGTGTGCATTCGAATTTTACTGCAAATTCTGTGACCAGTAAGCGTAATCATTTCTTGAATTCTCAAAATTCAGAGCGAATATACGGCCGAATGTGATGCTCGCAGGGCATTCATTTCTGGCTTTACCGGTTCAGCAGGTATTTTAACTTACAATACACACTGTTAGTCGAATAGACTAGACAAGGATTCGCCAATTCACAGGATTGGCTGTGGTTTCCGAGGATTGTGCGGCGCTTTTCACCGACGGGCGATACTTTCTCCAAGCAAGCAAACAATTAGATCAAAACTGGACGCTAATGAAACAAGGTTTACCGGATGTCCCCACCTGGCAAGAGTATTTGCAGGTAAGCACTGTTGGTTTTCGCCCTGAACGAAAAGAGAAGCTTCGCTTATTCTTGATTAAATTTGACAGAACCTTCCCAAAGGTTCAAAAATTGGTATTGATCCGACGCTAATAACAGCTCGTAAGTATATATCATGTTACTGCTTAAGTTACCAACGTTTTAGAGCACATCACATATATATATGTCCCTGAATTTCATAACAATTGATAGTTGATGCCAAATCATTGTCCGAGTCATTGGAAAAGAATGGATCATCGTTGGTGCCTACAGATGAAAACCTAGTAGATCTGGTATGGGGAGATGCAAGACCACCTCGTCCTGTCAACCCATTAATAGTCCTCGAAGAATGCTACACCGGTAATGATTGTGAAATTCGGATTCTACCTACACATTCCAAATCAACTTACTTATCCTCCCACCGTTACCACATAGGAAAATCCCATAAGGAAAAGATTGAAACCCTTCGTGAAGAACTTGCTAAAGAGAAACATTACGGTTTTGTCGTTTCCGCTCTGGACGAAATTGCGTGTTAGTTCGGTCAACAATTTTTTTCTTATTCCACGTCACACTTCATTCTTTAACCAATGGATTAATTAAAACACGTAACTTTATAGGGCTCTTTAATCTCCGGGGATCCGATGTAAAATTCAATCCAGTCTTTTTTGCCTACGCTCTTATAACTAAGCACGACATTGTCCTTTACATCGATGAGACCAAACTATCCAAATCGGTGACGGATCATTTGGGACCTGATGTAAAATTTCGACCTTACAACGCTATTTTCGATGACTTGCGAAAACTCGCGGTTGCTCTGAAAAAAGAGGAACAAGTTAGTTATTAAATTTCACCAGATATAGCGATGCTATATATTTTTTTTTTTTTCTCAAACCATAGGAATAACTTTTTTTTTCCTCTTACTATAGAGACTTCTTATCAGCACCAGGACAAGTTATGCCCTCGCAAAAGCAGTTGGCGAAGTAGGATTTAAATTTTATGGATTAAAGTCTATCGTCACAAATGGTTAAATGTGTTATAATTTCAGGATAACACCGAAAAAGCTCGTTCGCCGGTTGCTGATGCCA